ACAATTGACATAGACTTTTTAGGCTCTGAAGAAGGCGATTCTGCCAATACGTTAGCTTGTTTCTGTGTTGTATTGTCTTTTCAATGATACATTGTTTACCAACCTCACGTATTGCTAAGCAAAGTTACAGTCAAGATATTCAATTTACTAAATAGTAGTCCTTTACTGCATCCACCTACTTCAGCTCCTCATATGCTTTGAGAAAGTTACAATGAGAAAACACCAAAATACGCGTGTTCAAAACGCTGCATAGAAGTGGCCTGCTTGGAATTCTAGGAACTGTTCGGACTGTCATAGTTGATAGAAGATGAATAAAAAACGCAATCAGAGATTACATAGATGGCGTCACTCCTAAGCATAGACTTTACTGGATCTAATGCCGATATCGGCTAATCAGATCGGATCCGTTGAGAGGCGAACATTGACAACATACCACTTAGAAAGCACCAAGTGATCGCGAAACGAGGTTGCGTTTGAGCAATCAGCAGCACAGCGGAACGGCCATCTGTAAATTGGGGTTCGAGTTCCAGCTTAGGTTCAAGGTTTTGTACTTGATTCAGCATCATTATGAGTTTAATATTGTTATATTATTGCTTGTTATGTCACGTTATTAAAGCCGACCAAGTGAAGCCCATATTAGTTTGAACATCTTTGAGTTCTGAAGATGTTGCCTCTAGAAAGTTAGTTCTACTCAATAAATATTGTATAACAAATTCATGTTGTTGTATACGGATATCGCATAGCAGAAAACTAAGAATGTTGGCGTTTCTAAAACATGAGCAGAACCGGATTCGAACCCAGAACCTCTCGCACTTCTAGCAAGCGAGAACCTTGCTACTAGACCATCCGGCCGTATTTCACCTCACATTTCACCATACAAACACAAAGTAATGTATCGATGGTGATATAATGCAGAATGCCTCCATAGGAATAAACCCTTCTGAGAAGAAGTGAAGAGAAAATGGAAGTGGTTGGCAAGGACATGCGATGTCTGATATAAGAGAGAGAGATATATCGAGAGTCAAAATATGAGGTGAAGTAGGAATGTATTTGTAGCTTTATTATTATCAGAGTAATATGATAGGAGTGAAGCTGATAGGGGATATGAATGAGTAGAGATAAAAGTAGCAACATTTGCTACGTTATGTCCATTTGGTTATCTCAATCCTCAAATGACGTCATCTGCCAATAAACTTTTCATAATTGAATACATTCAT